CCGGCGAAGTCGATCAACCTCAACCCTTTTGGGGATGTTTCATTGTGAAGCCTGAATTTATCGACCTTAGTGCCAAAGATAACTTCTTTGCCCACTCTGTCGTTAAAGTCGCTAAGCAAGATTTTGATATCGTAGCGGGGGCAGCTCTCATAGGTGCGCTCATAGAAGGCATGGTCACGTCGTCATTCTCTTCCATCGAGGCATGGGCGCAGATCAGCGATGTGTTGGAGAATTTCCCTTTGATGCGGATTGTGGCTAGACGTTTATCCACCGTGTTACACCAAATTTGAGCTCCTTTATATGGTCCGTCGCATTTCTTGGACGGCGGTGATTTCAGCCTTTATTTTCACGAAGACATCAACCAGCTGGGCAGCGGCACCTTCCCAATTAAGGAACCGGACATTCCAGGTGCATGCCCTTAAATCGTAGACCTTATTTCATTTGCCATGGTCGTCATCAAAATGGCGTCTTTTACGTAGCGGGTCGCAAGCCCAGCGCACAACTCTGTGTAGGGGATGTTTCGCCTTCTCACTTTAGCGTGCTTTCAAACGGATGCACGGCTATCCATAGGATACTTGGTCAAAGACCGGAAGTCGTGAGCTGGTTGAGCCATTTGTAAAATAATCGTTTCTGGCCACTCCCAAGTGAATGGCGATCAGAGAACTTTCCTCACTTGCGTGAACTTCTACACATGACTCCATCTCTCAAAACACACTTTTTTAAACTTAATTGTTTTTTAAATGTTCACGAGACGCCTGGCTATATAATATGTATCCTTACTAGATACATATTTTTTATAATTTATTGACAATGTTATGAAAAATGTATATAAAAAACATGGGGAAAAATTTAAAAAGAAAAACGTTAATTATTGTTTATTTATCAACATTCTTTCATGATTCTAGTAGGGACGATAACCATTCACGCTCTTTTTAAGGATAAATCGGGGTTTTGTGTTTCAGATGATCCAAACATGAGATATCACATCTTATTCACCGACAGATGTCATCAAAAATTCCGAAAAAAATTGTTTATGTAGTCTACGATATACCTAATGGTGTGTGAAAAAAGTTCTATTGTAGAATAAAAATTTCTTTGAAAACAAATGTCAAAAGAACAGGCCAGATTACCCTACTGACCCCTAAAAAATAAATATATACTGTTTAAATACACATATAAACACTTGTATATTTCATATCACGGAAAAGTTAATATTTTAGGAATACATCAATATTACATCGAATTGGTAACCAGATTGGGTAAAGCACCGACCAGCTATTGAATAATATTCCAAAGCCTCACAATTCTTCATTTATCCTTGTTCAAATTGTAATACAGCTATTATATACCCAATTATTTATAAATTTTTGTTTTAGAATAGTTTTCCAGAAAAAAATGCATGTAGCAACATTTACTAACTATTTATTTATTTTTACACTTATTCACCTTATGAAGCATATACTGTAATACACTTGATCTCCTTTTTGCACGGTTAACTGGGCCAGGAACTTACTTGTACAAAAAACAATCGTCAAAAAAATCAAATTTTCAAATAAAACTCTCTATTGGAAAAAAGAAAAACGTGTAAAAAATCTAATTTTACTTGCAAATTTATCTATCTGACGTGGTATTATATATGTATTATATGTATTACTTTTTAAAGGAACAAACAAACAAACAACAATAAGTTTCAAATTTAAATCCAAGCTGAGGAAATAATTTTCTAGTTCTAGTATAATTTAGAATTTATTGCAAAAAGAGTACATAATTAAAATGAAAAACACGTGTAAAACAAAGGTAAATAGGAGATGTACAAAACACCGTGCAAAAAGGAGATCAAGTGTAATTACATTCAATTGGGTTGCTTAGTAAAAAATTTCGTTTGACGACAACTGCTATTTTATTGAATTCTTTCGCAGCCAACTTCACACTTCACCGTTATAAAAAGTAAGGTTTGTTTGTAAAAAAAAAATTCTTAAATTTTTTGGACTAGTTCTTGTTCACTGCTCTTTCGAAGATGAAAGATTGAAAACAGCATTTATAAGTTAATAGTAAAAATGCAGTTTAAGCAAAGCAAAAATTATGTTACGTGTATGCAGAAGATGTGTTGCCTGAAAGCCAAAGCCAAAATTGGTTTGTAAAACTTCGTTTCAACAATGGCAACATTTCGAACATTTCGATCTTGAAGATGTACCACGCCCTTGAAGGACTCTTGAATAAGCAACAACGAATAAGAACTCGAGAGATTGCTGAAAGATTAAATTTGTCTCACGCCAAATTCACTAGCACAAGAAACTTATAGTATTAATTTGAAAGCATATTATAGGGGTTCCTCGTTTTTTTTACAGAACGAAATTTGCTTCATCGCATTAACGAATTGTAGTTTGCCTATCAAACGTCAAAGAAATGACCCATGATTCCTTGGAACAATACGGTCTATAGATGTGAAACATTCATAATTTAATTCGTTATTTATTTTGTTGACATAATCGGAGTTCATTTTCAGGATGTAAATACATTATTTACTAAATTAAAGCGAGCATACAAAAACTCCCAATAATGGATTTTAATACAAATACGAGAGAAATTTTTCAAATTAAAATTCCAGACATCCAAAACCTATTAAACTATCTATAGATATACTATTTACAATTTACACTTAACAATTATGTATGTGGTTGTGTATATTTTCAGGTATGCTGATGTAAGTTGCGGGAGTGATTACACAATGTTTGGTGGACGACAAATATCAAACTTTCTTCATTATTTTGTGTATAAACTCAATAGTTTGTAATGCGATATATTGGAGTATCCTCTTACCGGAAATAGGGTTACAATATCCGGCGTTGAAATTTAAATTAAAAATACATCTACGCTCATAGGTATATATTGCAGTATATATTTTGTAATATATAGTATTATTATCGCGAAAAGACAATATTAAATTATTTATGCAGTTATAATTATTAAACACTTGCTAGCAGTCACTATTGTTATTATAGTATTTTGTTTTTTTTATTACGCTCTTCATTGTGTACACCCCGACGAAAGTATGCGCAGTTTAAATCTAACACATTTGCTGACCAGAAACTATTACCATGCCGCACTGTTAACTATTTCATTTAAAATAGCTGCGCATCAAACTGCACTATAGCTTCGTGTCACATAACTTCGAGTCCCCTACTCGAACAGTTTTGGAAAAAGGTGTACGAAAAGTAAAGTTCGTAAGCGGTTCCGCAAGCGAACATTTAATAAAGCTTAAATCAAATTTCTCCATCCCCATTCCACCTCGCCATGCCATAACACTGTATCGCAAAAACAACATCAGCAATAATAGCATAGCACACTACGATCAGCCAATACGTAACGCCACCGATGACCAAAAGTGTGCAACGTAAAAAGAAAAAAGCATGTAATGCTAATAAAAGTAAAGTTGGTTTCGAAAAAAGTGAAAAAGGCCTCACAACACATGCACCAATATTTTTAGCTGCAAATATCGGTAACGATCAGTAATATCAGTGAGTATCGGCAAAAATCCAAAACATGAATATATTGGTCAACAAACAATAGAGACCAAACGAACCGTAACACATACCTGTACGTATGAATATTCATAAGTACATGTGGAAATGTAAAGTGGGAATAGGTATGTATGTATGTAATGCAGGCATACATACCTGCATACTAATATTTGTACATGAAACGGTGATGGTTGTTTGAACGGTAAGTCAACATTTAGAAGTCAATTGTTGCGGAAATACTATTATTTTGAAATGTATATGTATGCTTAACGCAGTATAGATATCAAAAAAAGTAAATATACATATACATATGTATATATGTATAAAATACATAAATAAACATTTACAATAATTGTAAAATGCGTAAAACAAACATTAAAAGCAAGAAAAAAGCGTTAACTTCGGTTGGACCGTAGCTAGAATACCCTTCACAAGTCAAAAACCTTTTTAAACCTAAAAATAATTTCATTTGGTCAATTTGTTGACAGCTATAGGTTATAGTGATCCCATCTGAACAATTAGTTCGGATATTATTGTATTGTTTGGATAATAAGATGTGCCAAATTTTGTGGTGATATTTTATCAAATAAAAATGTTTTCCATACAGAAACTTGATTCCGATCTTTATATGACAGCCATGTGCTATAGTGGTCTGATATCGGCGGTTCCGAGAAAATAGCAGCTTCTTGGGGTGAAAAAGGCATGTGCAAAATTTCAGATCGAAGAACTGAGGGACTATTTCGCGTATATACTACTCGACTCAGCTCAACACGCTGATCGTTTATATATAAACTTTATATGGTATCCAACGTTTTCTTCTGGGCATTAGAAACTTCTTCGAAAACTCAATTTAGCGTGTTCAAAGTATAAGCCTAACTTGGAAGTCTGAGTACAGATGTGAAAACATTTGTTACTTATTATCCGGAAGTCGGAAAACTTTCTGTCATTCTTGTATGCTTTATTTATTGTTATTTACCTATTTATTAACCTTCATCATCTCTTTCTAAAATATTGTTATTATATTTTGTACATTTTTATACATATTTGCATGTCACATACCAAAAATAGGACATAACATAAAAAATTCATTTGAAAATGAACGCAACTGCAACCACGAAAAGCATTTCAGAATTAAAAAGAATGTCGAATTGCGAAGCAGAGGACATGGTGTCCTATGTATTTCCCCGTCCCCTTTGGCTCACAAACTGCGAGTTGCCGCAACAGAAAGTTCCTTCTGTGAACAGACACTAAAAGTATTTATACATTCATGAGCATAAAGGGGCAAATGTGCGCATATTACATACATATATAAATAAATCTTTACTTATGTATTTAAATATACATATATGAGCACAAATTTATATAATCCAGGGTGACCATTTATACATACAACTTATGTATTGCAATACGTAACTCGTACTTCTGCGAAACGAGGTTTAACGAGTTATAGGCATGTGAATGCCCAAATATGAGTGTGTGAAACCAGTCATGCTTCAAGCGATGATATGAGGTGCACCGTTAACGGGACGATTTTCTTTTATTATCGAATTTGCACAAAGAAGCACGCAATGGTGATATTAGTAAAATGTACGCAATGATTTCGCAATTTGAATATGTAAAGATTATCTGATTAAATGAGTAGATTATAGGTTAGGTAATATTATTTTGCTGGTAAATTTTTTACATATTTAATAACAGTTAAAGCATAGCATCATTAAAAAAGGTTTCGCCAAAAAAATATACATATATACAACAGGGGTATCCAGACCGAACTTGTTAATCGGGTAGTACGTTAGTTGATACTTCGTAAAAACATTTAACTGTGAACATACTTTTTGCTGTACATCAGTACTGGGTGTAAATTTTGTCTTAAAACAGCTGCCCCAATTATATTAAATACTTACTTTTGAAAAATTTGTCTGAAACTAATTTGAAGTAGACAGTCAATGTATTTTTTCGCAATGAATTAAGTTAACTTTTGAGGAAACAACGCAAAAAAAACAACTGAGTGATGTCACCAAGTAACGAAAAAACTATCATGCTTGCCAGTCTGGTACTTCGTTAAAGTGCGTATCCAGCTCTTAAGTAATTGCTCAAGAAAATATATACATTATTTCTTCGAGTAATTTTGACAGCTGGTTACGCATTGTTAGTGCTCCACATTAGAAGAGCAAGAGAGAATAAATCAAGAAAATAAACTTTGTGTGTAATATGTAAAAGATGCTAGATCTTTAAGGGTTTCAGGATTCTGATTAATTATTTAATGATTGTATCTCGTACAATATTATTTATTATTACATAGTTCAATTATATTAAATATTATCGTTTTGAGAGTTAAAATAAAATGAAAACTAAATGATTATTCACGAACGATGTTGACGCGACAACGTATCTACTCCGACTCTTTTTGTGTTGGTGCGCTCGTTCTTTTGTGTTGCAGGGATGCAATTATGCGGTTGACCTTACATATGTATGTATGTATTTGTGTAGTAACATAAATATTTTCATTGCGATTTAAGGAAAGTCGTTTATGATTGGTAAGTTTTATACAACATTTCAAAATGAATTACTCTTCATAATAATGATTTTAACTAAATCAGGAAGAATTTAACGAATACTTTGAATTTCCTTCAAAAAACAATTGTTGATTTCAATGTTTCTTCGCAAAACCAGGTTTGCCATATTCGCATTTTATTGAAAAAATGTGTTAAAAATTAGTGCTAGATTTCTTTAGTGGTGCATACCAGCACAAGAAAATTTACCGCAGGAAAACCGAACTTGTTACTGCAGGAAATTTTTTCTTGACCATTTCTTAACCGTTTTTTTATATGATGTTTTTACATTTCTTGAGAGCTGGATACTAGGCATTACTTGGTAAAACTATAATCTGCTAATTTTACAAAAACAAATCCCATGTAAAAAACTACCGAGTAACGACTAACGAATTAACAAAGCTGGTCTGAATAACCCTAATAATTTTATAACTAATGGCTGTTTGTGATCATCCAGCGGTGACTTTCACTAACGCTTGGAGTTTCAACTTATTTTATGAATAAATATTCTAGTGGCGAAGCTTTTTTAAAATAACAAAAAGACGTTGGGTCAGCTTTAGAATGCCGCCCCATGATTTCGAAGATAAAGGAGGTGGCCGTGGAAAACTAATATTTTTCGAGATATTTGCTTTTAAAGTTGGAAATTACCACTCTTTAAAGAAAGTAAATATTTTTTCGATTTAAAATTGATTTTACACTTTTATTTCCACAAACACCTCACTAATTCGTTTGTACATACTTTTTTTTTTATATATTATATAGTGCAAAAACAGTTTTAATTCAATATTTTACTTATTATTTAATTCTATTTATTTAACAATAACAAAGGAGTTTTAAAAAAACAAACTTGAACTTGAAGGCTGCCCACGAAAAAAGAGTTATATGGGAAAGAAACTTGATACACTCCAGTGCTGGGACAACCAAGGTTATTTTTACGCGAGTTTTAAGCGAAGAAAACTTGACGCTCCCTGGTATTTGACCGACCAGGGTTTCTTTTTTTTTTTTTTAAGCGTGGCCGAAGGCCTCCGCAAAAAGGAGTTTTACGCGAAAAAAACTTGACACACCAAAATGTTGGGCCAACCAGTGTTATGGAAGGCCTCTCACCTAAAATGAATTCTACGCAAAAAACTTTACACACACCAATGGCAGGCAATAAAAAGATTTTTTGCGAGATACAACTGCAACTATCCCGAAATCGTTATGGATTTGATAGTAGAATACGTTTGGCTAAAAGTATTGCCCACACACATGAGGATACGCTTGTAAAACTCGAGATACAAAAAATTTACGCATAAGCCTTTTCATTTTAGTTGCGTATGTGCATGTGATTTTCAAGTTTGCTTATTCAAAGTTTTTGATCCTATTTTGGGTATAATGTAATTTCTTTATCTCATTCAATTCACATACAACGGATGTCGAAAAGGTAACACTAACAGTTTGCACCATTTAGTTGTTGTTAAATAAATAGAATTGAACAATGAGTTTAATATTGATAAAAAAAAAGTTTTGTTTGCTCCATATAATGTAAAATAAATGTGTACAAACAAATTAGTGAAGTTTTAGGGACAAAAAATTGCAATATATAAGTCTAAAATTTATTTTAAAGCGAAAAAATATGTACTTCGAATGGTGGTAATTTGAACTTAACCTAATCTTTCTTATATACTTGAGTTTTTCCAAGGCGTCCTAATGAAATTATTTTCCACATTATCGGCAAAAAAATAAAAATTTATTGTTTACAAAAAATCAAAATTAAAAAATCCTCAATCAGGCAATAGTTTTTCATGTTTCATCTCATCAGAAAAATTTATTCGGAGATTGTAGTGTTGTATTCGAAAATATTCTATGCCGAATTTCGAGAAAAATCCCAAAAAAACTTGTCAATACAAAAACTTGATTTTTTTTTTTGTTTATTTATTTATAAAACCTTATACAATGTTATTAACATATGTACAACCTAAAACATGCAGCGCTAGCTTCAGAGGCTATCAGCTTGATTTTAATCATTCAGATTGTATCGTAGCTATATGCTAAGGTGGTGATCGCTACAGTTCGAAAACTGCTAGGCAGATTTCAATACAGCTGTTTTTTTTTTGATATATATTCACGCCGTTTGGCATCGAGTATTTTCGAATACAATACCACAATCTCCGAACAAATCGTTCAGATCAGACCACTATAGCAAATAGTTGTCATACAAATGGACTTATCGAAATCAAGTTGTTGTATAGAAACTTTTTTTCTGTAAATGGTATTATAGGTTCGGAGTAACCGAAGCCAACGTCTTTTTCTGTTTTTAAATACATTTCGTCATATTTAATGATACTGCCTAATTGCACTCAAGGAAGGGGTTTAAGGTCGATTATTTAGGATGAAAATTCAAATTTGTTAACTCAAGTGGTTTTATTAGGGAGTCATAAAAGCAAAAGATGGTTTGACAACGAGTATATGTATATGAAAGTGCTCTCAAGCCAACATTCGATATACTGCAGGAGGATTCTCTTGCCCTTGCAAAATGCTTGCACGATGCACGCATTGCATGAATTTCCAATTGGTGCAACGACACACAACAAAACACACACAGAAAAATATTTTCAATGGCTGTAAAATATGTCAGACCGAAACGCATGTTTATTTGCGTGCATTGACACGTAAAAAAATTATTGCAACCCTGTGTTAGCTGTCATTTTATATAAAAACATATTACACCGTTAAACTGTTGAGAAAGGTAAGTTTTAAATAGATTTAATTTTCTATTCATCTTCAAACAAGAAGTGGAAGGAGACTGATGTAGTCTCCATTATAGAGTTTTTGATGGAAGAGACTTAGGCTTATAAGTTGTTTTTTTTTTTTTAATGTTTAATCTAATCTTTTCAGGCTCCAATTACGCAATTGTTTTATAGACAATGTTTATAAAAATCGCAGTTGTATGTCTCATGGGATCTGGTGCGTTGGATGGTCCAGCATTTGAAGGCGCAGTACCGTAAAGCCAATGATTGGCTCGCGTCAACGGATGCAGGACTTAAAAATGAAGCTGACGTATGAACCATAGAAGGTTAGTATAAATTGATATTTTAATTTATTGTAGATAAATCATTTTTTAATAATTTTAGCTGAGGATAGCGTTACTCGTTGCTAATAACCTGCCTTCGCCTCAACTATGTCCAGCTAGTCCTGTATCAGAATTCGAAGTAGAATTCTTGGAAGAGGAATGTGTACCTGCCGCACCTTCGATGGCACCAATTTCCACCCCGATATCAACATTACAACGGTCAACTTGATCACCGAAATCATCCGTTGGACAGTTGGCGTCTATCCAAGCTGAAAGAATTTCTAATGGAAGCGAAGAAGTTGGAATTTGAGAAATATAAATTCGAGGTAAAAAAATTTGACTTAGATTAAAAAAATAGAAACTGATGATAAATAGAAGTTATTACAATTACAAATGAAAGAAAGAATGAC